GTCCCACCCTAATGCCAGTACTTATGGCATAGTGTCTACGCTTCTGCTAGTGCCAGGAAATCCTTTACCTGAATTGTATGCAGTGAGCTATATAACTGGGGAGCTTCCAAAGCCATGGACCAACAGCCTTCTTATTCCCATTCCTAAACCTAGCAAGCCATCCTCTTGTTTACATAGTACCTATTGTGACAGTTGTCAATAGTCACGAATTCGTATTACTTAGCTTTTAGATAGTAGATATTGACTCTTAGGAATTCGTTTATAAAAAATGAAGCTAAAAAAAATTAAATATTCTTAGGCCTAGTATAGCACATTTTTGTACTATGTTAGGCCTCAGATTCCGTGTATTAGGCCTAGGAAGATTAGGTTAGGTTAGTTTCTCAAAGCAAAACAAGTACAAAATTATTTTCCGATTTGTCCAACTCAATAGTTCAGATTTCTACTTTGTAATTGCGTTGTAGGTCGGTATATATACTATGGTGCTCATCGTTACTGTAAGTACTACTATGAGAGGAGGATGGGCTGCAACCTAACCAGCAGAGTGCCTTCCACCCAATATCTCTTACTGGTTGTGCTTGTAAGTCTTGAGAGGATGGTTCTTACCCGTCTCGTTCATTGAATTAGAGACTTCTTGTCTGCCCAGATATATGGCTTCACGCATGGAAGGGGTGTACGTCGCTCAACTACCTCCTTCCTCACTGCATACTGAAGGGTCAAATACCTCTTTCCCAGAGTTTAAGTCAGCCTTTGACATTGCTAACTGACACGTCATTCTGAGTGAACTTGCCAAGATGGATGTTTGGGGATGGCTTCTTCGTTGGCTAAGAAGCTCTCTATCCAACAGGAAGTTATCTGTACTGTTCCAGGGTCGTAGAAATGTAACGAAACTTTTTGAACTGGGTACTCCATACAGAAATGCCCACAGTCCTACTCTCATAACAATAATCAATACGCTCCTAAGCTCAAGTGAGCCGGAGGCCTAGCGAATACATCATGAACTATGAGGATGATACAATGATCTTCTGTAAACATATATTAGAAATAGAATTTGTCCCAGCACCGATCTCTGAGGTACTCCGCTCGTTACTGTTCGCCAATCCGACTTCTCGCTTCTTACCATAACTCTTTGGCTCCTTCCTGTTGGGTAGTTCCTTATCCATGTTAGGGCCTTGCCTCCCACCCTCGCCTGCTTCTCGAGTTTGAATAGCAGTCTCATGTGCGGTACTGTATCAAAGGTTTTTTGGCAGTCCAGAAATATGCAGTCTGCCAACCTTCTCTGTATTGTCTTATCCTCGTTATTTTATCATAAAATTCCAGAAGGTTTGTTAGGTCACGCTGTGTGTTGGGGGGGCGCGTGCGTGCGTGCATGAGCGTGCGCTTGAGATTCAGTTTGCGAGCCCATTATGTGGCTCTAACCCTGTCCACCACCACTCACGGGATGGCTATGGGGGTGCACAATTAATGACTAAATAAAGGAAATTAAATATAAGACAATCAAATCAAACAATGGAGAGAAAAACATACAAATTTGAAGTAATAATTTCGAAAGATCTTACTTTCAACGCACACAATACGGTAGCTGTCTTGACTGTAAGAAAAGTGAGAGACTGAATAACAAGAACATTTCAGAGAGATGCCAGACCAATGACGGTACTGTTCATGACACTTTTTTATTATTATTATTATTATTATTTTCTACCACAGACGTGGCCACACATTTACAATGCTAACCAACATATATACATTTTCTTCTGTCCTCCATGGACTGGTGCTGTACTGTTGCACACTTAGAGCCCCAGTCACAGCTGGAGAAGTTGCCGAACTGGAGAACATGCGGAGATCTTTAAATGACCGAAGGAAAGGGAACTATCAGGAGAAAACGCCCAGTCATTACGACTAAATAACCAATTCAATAAATAATCTAAATTATTGAGAATGCTTTAAGCTTCGCAAACTGTATTTTCTAGAGAGCAGGCGAGAATTACATAATAATTTACACTTGGAAAATATTAGAGGTACTAGTTCCAAATGTGGACAGGGAAGTAAGTAACACCTTCCTGTCATGCCAGGAGGTATGGCAGGAAGTGCAAGGTGGCCACGTTGGAGAGTAGAGGTGCAGTAGGAACACCCAGACACAATTCTATCAACATCAAGAGTCCAGGACTTTTCCACACTCTCCCTCTACACACAAGGGGCACAACAAGCAACTTCTCACGGTGTTCAAAACAAAATTGACACACACACCTCGAAAGGATAATTGATTAACCAGGTTGTGAATTCTACGCGAGACTGTGAGCAGCGGCGTCTACCAGCCTGGTTATAACCACCAGGCACCAACCAGGAGGGAAGAGTGATACCCGGAAGCATGAGAAGGTAGGTGACACGGACTGCCTCAGCCTTAACCAGGTGTAGTTACGAGAGCTAAGCCGGGCGAGGGGAGCACACGTGTGTCTGGAGCAAGTGACCTTTGTCGCTCGTGGCTCAGGCGACCCGCTGATGGCCTCACTAACACATCAACTGTAGCAGTCCACCTCACGCTACGGCCCGCTCCCCCTTCATATAGTCTAGGGTACCTGCACAAATGCAGATGTACCTAATGTATTAATAAAAAAAAATCCGCCCGCGTGTGGCTCCTCCTGCCTCCCACTGTGTACCCGCGTGTGGCTCCTACTGCCTCCCACTGTGTACCCGCGTGTGGCTCCTCCTGCCTCCCACTGTGTACCCGCACACACTTGTACTTGCACGCTCAACACTCACCTTATACACTCTGGTTCTTGTTGTGTCTCCCGCATAATGGTGTGGTTCAACACCCTCTGGCTGTGTTACCAGACCTGGTTTTACAACTAAACAAAATTCGTACAAACTGCATCGTCATCTAACTTATTGTTGACAATTCTCAGAGTATAGGCAGGGAAGTCTGTCTCTCCTTCACTTGCCTACTTATGAGCGGGAGTGAGTCTCAACTCTTGGACCCCGCAGCTATGACTAATCACAGGCAGCTATAGGCCTACTTCTATTCTTTAACACATTGTCATATATGATCTCCAAGTTGTGGACGAGGTTTGCTTGCTTCCCCCCCCCCCCCCACACCGTTCCTTTCATTTGCTACTGTAACGATGAGTGGTTACTTCTATTAATCACAGATATATGTGTGTCTCTAATGGCCATATTCGTCCCGGCGTTCAATATCCTGGCATTAAACATTGAATTCCTCAGATTAGGCAAAATTGTAATTAATTTTTGTCAATAAAGACGTTAATAATAATAAGGCATTAACAGGCTGCTTCTCTGCCGTAATATCTCTTGAGTATAGCTCCACAGCAAGTGGCTGCTAACCCTTAATTCTAGCATCGTATCTAAACTCAAACTGTATTTTGAGGCAAACTGTATTTTGAGGCAAACTGTATTTTGAGGCAAACTGTATTTTGAGGCAAACTGTATTTTGAGGCAAACTGGATTTTGAGGCAAACTGTACTTTGAGGCAAACTGTACTTTGAGGCAAACTGTACTTTGAGGCAAACTGTACTTTGAGGCAAACTGTACTTTGAGGCAAACTGTACTTTGAGGCAAACTGTACTTTGAGGCAAACTGTACTTTGAGGCAAACTGGATTTTGAGGCAAACTGGATTTTGAGGCAAACTGGATTTTGAGGCAAACTGGATTTTGAGGCAAACTGGATTTTGAGGCAAACTGGATTTTGAGGCAAACTGGATTTTGAGGCAAACTGGATTTTGAGGCAAACTGGATTTTGAGGCAAACTGGATTTTGAGGCAAACTGGATTTTGAGGCAAACTGGATTTTGAGGCAAACTGGATTTTGAGGCAAACTGGATTTTGAGGCAAACTGGATTTTGAGGCAAACTGGATTTTGAGGCAAACTGTACTTTGAGGCAAACTGTACTTTGAGGCAAACTGGATTTTGAGGCAAACTGGATTTTGAGGCAAACTGGATTTTGAGGCAAACTGGATTTTGAGGCAAACTGGGTTTTGAGGCAAACTGTACTTTGAGGCAAACTGTACTTTGAGGCAAACTGGATTTTGAGGCAAACTGGATTTTGAGGCAAACTGGATTTTGAGGCAAACTGGATTTTGAGGCAAACTGGATTTTGAGGCAAACTGGATTTTGAGGCAAACTGGATTTTGAGGCAAACTGGATTTTGAGGCAAACTGGATTTTGAGGCAAACTGGATTTTGAGGCAAACTGGATTTTAAAGCAAACTGTACTTTGAGGCAAACTGGATTTTGAGGCAAACTGGATTTGCCTCAAATATTTTCCATGTACTTCCTTGTGGCTGGGAGCATTGTAGGGCTTTCCAGAGCGGGCGCCCCGACCTTCCCGCCAGGCCCGCTGGCAGAGTCGCCGCCTCACTACACCCAAACCTTCAGTTCTCGCAGCTCCAAGTCCGTCCTAAGCACTGCGGTGGGTTTGGTATATCTACCCTACATAAATATCTTATCAAGTTCCTTTCTGAACACAATTCTGGGGCCAATTGGTAAATGGGAGTTATGAGCTTGTTTATTGCCATACAAGTATAAGGTTTTGCCACATGTTCACTCCCCAGGCACTGTGGAGAAATGCCCGACAGACCACTGGAACATTATCTAACACACTGTACACTTACAAACCCATTAAGATTTCAAATTAGATTCAACAGAGCAGAAGTTGTTAAACACATGGGGCAAAGAACTTACCGAAGCGACCATATGAGTTATAAATACTCATACTCCGCCCAAGTAAAACAGAAACAAGCAACACTTAGTGGGTCAGCCAGAGGCTTAGGGCCTCGCGCAGGAATATCCGACAAAAACTCCCCCAGGCATTGTGTTTCCCCTCCACCCGACCCTCTCCCAGTGTCTTCCTTTACTGTGTGTGCCCAGGGCTCTCCACCATGTTGCCTCTACCTCCCATACCATCATCTGTGGCACATTGTGGCACTCCTGGCACTCCTGCCACATCTTCCTTCCTCCTCCCCTCCACTCTCACACTGGGCAGTGCCCCGC